CTTGGAATGAAGAATGTGATGGAAAAGCAAAAGAAGCATTTGATATGTCTATATCAAAAGGTATCAATACTTTTGATACTGCTGAAGTATATGGTAATGGTGAAAGGTAAATAGACAGAAAAATAAAAATAATAACTAAATTAATTTTTTTTAGTGAACGTTCTATTGCTCGATACAAAGCAAATCATCCTAATGCTCACGATATTGTTATTGCTACAAAATTTCTTCCTTATCCTTACAGATTTTCTTATCCAAGTTCACTCCTTAATGCACTTCGAGCAAGTCTGCAAAGATTACAGGTATTAGAATAAGTATAATATGTTGATTACGATTAAATCTACCATGAATCTATCGATAGTAAATTCGTTTTTGAGATATCAAACTTTGGTTAATCTTGATACAACAAGATTGAGCTTGTTACAATCATTGTGAGATGTACATTTTCTTGTGTGTCTTCACTCTCTTTCTTCAATCACTAAAACAAGAAACTGTTAAGAAACAAAACAATCACATCATCTTGGCAGTTTCTTACTAATCCTCTATAATAGAAGTATTCAAAATTTGTCAAAAAATATCTTTTTTCTTAATTTCAGGTTGATTGTGTTGATCTCTATCAAATTCATGGTCCCATTCATTTACGTTCAATTGAAGTTGTTGCTGATGCATTAGCAGAAGCAGTTAAACTTGGTTTGACTAAAACTGTTGGTGTTTCAAATTATTCAACAGATGAAATGATTAAAATGTATGATTGTTTACAAAAACATGGTATTCAACTTGCATCAAATCAAGTTGAATTTTCACTTCTTCGACGTTCACCAGAAACATCTGGACACATTGCTGAATGTCATAAACGAGGTGTTGCTGTTCTTGGATATTCTCCTCTTGTAAGTTAATAAATTATTTTTTTTTTTAATTTTTGAATAAAGTCTTAGTATTTTACTCATATAAATCTATGTTTGATTGTTCATTAGGCTATGGGTCGTCTTACTGGTAAATATTCAGAAGCAAATCCACCTCCTACTGGTCGCCATTTCTCCAATGTGAATATGAGCGAATTAGAGCCGATATTGGAAACAATGCGACGCATTGCAAACAAACACAGTGTCAGTGTTTCATCAGTGGCTTTGAATTATGTCATATGTAAAGGTATAGATTATTTAATCATTTTTCTTATATTATGAAAGCTATCATGTGCTCACAAAACAAAATTTAAGCATGAAATTTTGTATATCAATTTTTCAAACTCAACTAAGCTAGTTGACTCAATAATCTCATTATAGTTTCCTCTCATAGAGGATTTTGTTATTAAAATTAATTGCTTAGATATAAGTGTTTGATTGATTTTAGAATGAAAATTTTCTTGTTCGAGTTAAATTAAGAATAACATTCGAATGCGAAAAGTCATATTTGGATAGATATCTTTGATATTAACAAGAAATATTATAGAGAACGATTATAGTCCAGGAAATGTTGCTAGAAGTATTTTGAATCGTTTAAAAAATTCTGTAAAATAAATGAAAGAAAACAAATTCATGTTAGTTTGTATCGAAGACATACATATTATTTGCATGCAAAAAATATGACGTTTAAGCTGAAAAAAGTACTTGCCTTTTCACAATGGTATGGGACATAGTAAATTAGAAAACATTCATGAAATTAGTAATATAAAAATTTTGATTATACAATGCTTTACAAGAGTATTTATTTTAAAGGTGTTATTCCACTTGGTGGTGCTCGAGATGGTAAACAAGCTGAACAAAATGCTGGTGCTTTAGGATGGCGTTTGACAAACGAAGAAATCGCCGAACTCGAAAGCCATAAATTTACTCCAATCCATTCATTTTGGCATCGATTTTGGCAACATGGTTGAGAATGTCATACATTTTATTTTGATTCACTTATTTTATCGTTGATAATGTATGACATTGATATTCTTTTTGTTATGTGCATTTTATATAAGTACATGAAAGAAAAAAAATTCAAACATTTCCTGTTCTCTAGTTTGATAGTCTATCTGATGATAGTGGCAACTGTTTAATAAAGGTTAAAAAATGAATGATACCTCGAGGTGATGCAGCCAAAGTGGTGACACTCTCTCAATTAAGAAAACTGTGCTTTTTTTCGTAGTGAAGTCAAATATTTTTGTGCATTCTCTTAAAACAAAAAAAATCTGTACATCTTCCCAAAAAAAAAACACTACATTCTCCCCTAATGTTGGCTGCATCGGACCAGCTCTCATTGTAAAAGTATTGAAATATGTTCGAATAATAACGTCAATCATCAAAGATTCAATACTAACTTTACATCAAGAGAGACATAAAAAGTTAGTGAATAAGGTAAAATGTTAAGTATATGCAATCTGCTTTCACTCAGGTATTAAAGTTCTCGAAAATTTGATAGTGATGCAAATGTGTAACACCTTTTTTATGTTACGTGAAGAGTTATTCTTATTTAAGAAGTAATTTTTTTTTTCTACTCTTAAGAATTCGATCAATAGTTAATTTTATTTTTTATTTCGAGGTTCGAATTCATATTAAAGCGAAATATACTTCTTGTATCATTGATGACTATCTGAATGGTTGACAGTCATCATGTGAATTCGATGCTGTTCAAAGCTCAGTTGAAAGTCACAGTTACATAATCAACATTTTCAAAAAATGATATCATGTAGCATAAAGTTGGAAGATATTCTCTTGTTGAATGTTTTCTATATCTTACTTTGTGAGATTCATAAGTCGACACATAACTTGATCTCACCATAATTAAATTCAAAACTCGTGAATCCTTGTAGCGAGTCGAAAGAATATTCCTGCTCTCAAGGACAATTCTATTTGTTTCTATTGCTAATTTCATATACAGACAAGTATCATTGACAGATATTTCCATACTATCGATATCGAACTCACTGATAATAGCCTTTCGAAATTCTCTTTCAATAATATCTTAAAATGTTATTATCTTTAGATTAATCATTATAAATGATACCTTACAATGCTAAATTCTACACAGACATGTGTTCAAGTAACGAAAGTAAAGAATGTGTACATTTTTGTTTTGAAGAATTTTAACAATATTAGTAGTAGACATCAGAATAGTATTACTGAATCTTCTCTTAAATTGCTCATTAATGATTTATTGAATTCATGATTAGTAATAATAGTAGAGAATTAAATGAACGTTTGTGGAGAAAAACGTTAAATGAATAAAAATATTAGCGAATGTTTTTCTGTTCATGATTAAACAGTTCTTCTTAGCATATGACAGATGACAGAATTCCTTGACAAAATCTATGAATTAATGATCAACTTCAATTATCTATCACAATATTGACTGTTATATTTAGTAATTTGACGATGGATATATGAGCAGATTATTATTGTATTCAATAACAATAATAAGTGTTTACTTTTTTCTGTTGATTTGAGTATATATCTTCGCTGTATTTATTTTCGAAAATCAGGATGTGGTGATATTGAATGATTGGTTAGATTACAATAATTAGTCAACAGATTGATTTCTGTTCATTTGACTCAAGCAGAAGCTTGGAAAAAATGTTTATTTGAACTGTTAACAATTGCAATTAATTGAATTACTGCAATATAACAACTATTTATCATACACACTGAGAAAGACAAGAAAATTTTCTTGAGTTTTATTCTATTTAGACATTTTTTATATCAAATTTATCAATACGAAATTGCTTTGTAGCAGTGATGGATCTAGACTTTTGGAAAGCGAAAGCAATCGTAGGCAAAAAAATTACTTTTAAGAACTCATCTCAGGTAGTGAAAACTCGTTTTTCGTTCATTTTTTCTGAAAAAAACTCATGAAGTAATGGCGATCATTCTTTCTATATCAGCCACTGTATTTTAATATTGAAAACATTCATTCCATAATGAAAGTTCATCATGGAAAGATAAATAAAGGTACATGATAAAGAATAATGTTGAAGTTTCACATTTAGTTAACGGTTATCAATCGCATCAACGCAAGCACTGAAATGTATAAGTATTTATAAAATCATACAAATAAATTATTATAAAACAACCAGATATCTTATGCCGCTATAATGCTAAAAGTTGACTATAAGAGCAAATTTTAATGAGTTTATGACTTGTATAATCAATACGAAAGAGCAGTCAAAAAACTGAAATATAAATAATAAGAATCTCTTACTTTGTTTTATTAGTAAAATAAAAATAAAAATAAAAATATACAATATTCATTTATTACATTTTTGTTTGTTGGATTTTATTAAGTATTGTTTTTTATGAACTCTTGTGCATATAAATTATACTCTATTATTTATAAAGCTTCATTCTTGTTATAAGAAATATGTTGCTTGGAGAAAGTTTTTTCAATCCGTTGGCACATTCCAAACTAAATGGAATTATTATGTCAACTTTGATATATATATATTGGAATAGTTGAACAATTGCGAAATCTGTTGATTATTTTTAGTCAATTTATCTTCTCTAAACATCACAGAGTTATTATTTTTTTATATGTAAAATTGTGCATTCATAGATATTTGATTGAAAATATTTATGCTAATATAATCTTTCTTGCTCTGTTCATTACTACTACAATGGCTGAATTTACAATCTACATCAGTGACATAAATATTAGAAAATGTTCAATTTTTCAGCTGGAAAAGTAATGACATGACACTACTATCTTATATTAAATGAAAAAAAATCAATTGTTTATTTGATAAAGACGATGGTAATTACAATGTAAATTAGCTAAAAAATTGAATATTTGACTTGATTTTGTATTCAATAGTTAAAAGCGAGACAAAAGAATACTTTAATGAATATTCAACAAAAATTGAAAAGTTTTGACATAATATAATTTGATGAATATATATTTGAATGAATCGTACAGCAACATTCATTCCGTTTACATGTATCGAAATCAAAACCACAATAGAAGACTTTTAGCGATAAAGAAAAATTTTGTATTCTGTTGAAAACGTTTTTTGTTTCATAATTATTCAAATGAAAGAAGATGAACAACACAGTAAAACGTATGCTATCTCTCATAGATGAATATTCTTCAAAAGTCATAATAAATAAAAACATTCGTTACGATCATAATTATTCTAATAGTGAAGATAGAATGACTGAAGATTATATAAACATATGTAACTGTGTAAATTAAGGATACACTCTCTTTGTTTGACCTTTCTAGTTCTCGAAGACAATACAATCGGATAAACTAGAATTTTCATCACTGATAAAGCACAAAAAAAAAAAGAAAACATGCGTTCGAAGGAAAAGTCTTAAAGTATATGAGGTGTGGGTATAGGAGTATGTGTACAGAGAAGACGAATATCTGCGTGTACACCACATGCACATGAAGAAACGTATTGTCTTGTCGTTAGTTTTCTTCTTGAATATTTTTTTATACACTCTTATCGCTTGATGGTGTACTTATACATCTCTGATTGTTTTGTATGTAATACAGTGTCTTTATCTCACTGGTCGAGAATCTCAAAATACACTGTTTTTGACATTTTTTTTCTTTCGGCCAAATGAATGTCATTCAGTTCAATGACTTTTACTGTTGTTAAAAGAAGAAGAGAACCGAAAAATATTAGCTCAACTCAACAGTCGCTTTCGGTAGAATGAATACAACATCCGAAAAAATGTCAAGACTTAGTTTATTAATAAGACGTAAATCGAATAAACTCTCCAACTGAAAAAAATACTGTTTTACCAAAATGTAGCAAACAAAAAATACAGTTACAGGCAATGATTCTGCAAATCTAACGAGTTCATCATTCTATTTGACTTGCAATTTGTAGAATAGTAGTTTCGATCTCGTAAGTAATTTCTCCTTTTTTTTATTAATAAGTTGAAGATTAGATGTTTTTTCAAGCGTAAGAACATCCATAAATAATTCTGTTAATCTTAAAGCACTTCGTAAATCAATCAATTTTGAACAAAACCTTTAATCATATGCCGGAAAATTAACCAGTCTTACTAATCAGAAAATTATCACGTTTTTTTTCTTTTATGGTTGTTTTTACATTGTGAGAAATTATCAGTGTGACAATTCATTGACGTCATCATAGTGCATGTTTAGGTCTTTTGAATAAGGATCAAATATTTTAAAAACTACGCATAATGTCTCAAATTACATCATACACGCGATCTTTCACTTGATAGAATCAGCTCAAAAAAAAGCAATAAGAACTTTCAAGAAATGTCAGAAGTTTAGTGTGCAAGACAATTTGATCAAATCTTCATCAATGTCGCTCACGTTTTGCGTGTTACTTATGATTCTTAAGCTTAAAAGAGAAGAGAGAAACAAAATTCAATAGCTACTAAAATAAGTAGGCGATAAAAGCATGCCATATAAATATCTATCCTATTGAAACAATCATTTCGTTGCATTCTTATCTTCTATCTGGTTCCAACATCATTATAGATTCTCTCATGCAAATAGTGTGCATCATCGGTAAATTTTATTTTTAATATACATTTGTTGATATTCTTCAATGCTAAGGTTTGGTACTCGTATCTTTCATTATCTATACACAACAAGAAACAGCAGTACCATCATCCAATGAACAACTTCCATTAGACAAACGTCGTATTGATCCTAATGTACGTACATCTATTCCACTTTTTCGTGGATCAAATTTACGCATTTTTGTTCGCAAACGTCCATTTCATGCTGTTCCGGAACATTTTGCCATACGACGAAAAGAACCTTCAACATCCGCTAGCAGTGAAAATATTTGGGCTTCACTATTAAGAAATAATGAACAATATCAACGTCGTTTCGACGATTATTCAGAAAATCCAGGTCCCATGTTTGGTTGATAATGACTTTGGAGTTGTACACAACTAACGAAAAAAAAAAACTATAATAACACAGAAAAACAAAAGAAAATGTTTTAGTGTGCAACATTCTATCCAATGACGAGCACTAATAAAATTTTATCAACGCAGATTATATTTAAATATTTTCAGTAGTAATCACTATTGTTTGATCAGCATTTCAAGAGAATATTATATATTAGATTTACTTTTCAACTAATATATTTATACTAATAGAAACATAATAAGAATTTATCTCACATTTTTTTTTGCAACTAAAAATATTTTGACTTGTACTTAAAATTCAAGGTACATTTAATTTTGTATAATTAAATGTTCATCGATTATGTCATCGTGAGACAAGTCAATAATTTTAGATTAGTTGAGTTCTATTTTCAAGTATGATTACGATTGATAGTGATGATGATATTTACAGTGTGCTGTAGAAAAGTCGAAAGGATAACTAGTAAAGGACAAATATCAATAATAGAGTGTAGATACGAAAGATGAACACACTCTGAAGATCAAAACAATTGCAATTAAACATCGTATGGACAATGTTGGTGAATGATATTATAATGATCTTATAAATATAATGGAATATTTAGATGATTTATTATTTGTAGTTACCAAAGAGAAAAATTATACTAAAGTTGATTTTTTATTTCTTGCTTGTATATAAAGCCCATTGAATCCGAAATTTTCTGACCCGTATCCAGTCGAGTCTAGGACCAACCTGGCGAGCTCTACTTGTGTATGATCTCTGTTCGAATGTTAGTACTTTACTAATGAGAATCTTCTAAAGTACTTGCCGACCATTGTCTGTTCCGAATTTTTTCTTAACATTCTACGACCAATCATATTTGCTTTGCACTTCACATATATTCTGTTGTAAACTTTAAACGATCTGTCTACTAACGTTCTTACTAGGTTATGATGTAGAATGCTGCTTTTGTTTATTCGGCTAATATTTTTCTTCAGGTAGCGCATATGGTGAAAGTGAGTATCTTCTTTTATAGCTCGAAAATATGATGCACCAGATCGAACTTCTGTAAAAGTCATTGACTGCCGAAAACAAAACATATACTATCAGTATTGTTAAAATATTATGTAATTTTACTTATCTAACTGTTCGTCAACTCAAACACTTGTTTATTTTTCAATTAAAGAACACATTAGATTATATTTAATTACAACGTTTACTGTATACATAAATCTGCAATAGTTATTGATGAAAGTCTTCTTTTGAAGTTTCGAATCTTTTTTGAGTTGAAGATATGCACCTATTTTTTTATTACCTTGAACAATTACTTTTTCTTAGCTATTATAAGTATAGCACTAGTCAAAAATCAAAGCTAAACTTATTTTTGATATTCTCTACGATATGACATCTTCAATTCAAATTCAAATCTCGGTTTAAATTGACAATGAACTTCTCTATCAAATATATTCCATACCAAAATTTTATAGATGTTCTATGACAGAAAGACTTGTGAAAGGTCAGACATAGTAGTTTACCGATTCTAGAAAATTGCATGAAGATTAGTTCTTAAGAATACTGTCTTAAAAAGCACAAAATCATGAGTGAAATGACAGATTCTCGCGTCGCCTACGATCTTCTCTTAAAAAGTTACAGCCATAAAAAAACAAATAATCCATTTTTTTGGTAGTGCTATGATAAGTTTCACTTTTTTTTCTATGTTTCATGATGTTTATAACTTTTTAATGAAGGGTCTTAGAAAATCCGACAATCCTCATTCTAATCAGGATTTAATACCCTTTAAGTTGATACTCTTAAAAACTAATTTTTACAGTTTTCTGGGACCTAAACACTATGATGCTTAGTTTTTCAGAAAATTTTCTTTTCATATTTCATCTCTGAAATTTTGGCATGGTATGCATTTAAAAGAGAACTTTATTGTCTAAATAAATCACTATTTGAATTTGAGGTGAATGGTTGATATTATGAAAAGAAACTCAAAAGTATGTTGTTCTGAAACTTTTGACTAGTACTGTACGCATATATATATATATTTACTCTTGTTTTAAATATAAAAAAAAAAACAAAATAAATAAATAAAATAGTTCATAATGGAGCAGCATTGATTAGTATTTCAGGTTTGATATAAATGTTAGCCGAAAAATGATCTGTTTGTTCTTTTAATTCACGTAATGCTTGATCATTCCATCGAAATGAAAGAAATGCAGTTGGTACAAGATCACATTGACTCAATGTTATTGGTTGTTCATCTTCACTCGAATAGATTCGACGATCAGCCATTGATGTTAATATAAATGGAAGCGTATTATATACAAGACAATGTGTACGTAAGTATTCAAACAGAGATGAAAGAAGATCATTAGATTGAAAAATAACTTGAAGAATGATTTCATCAGGCATTCGAATACGTAAAATCGTATATTTATATTGAACATTTAAATAAGATTTTTCATCACGTTCACGCATAGCTTTTGTTCTTAACATTTGTTCTTTTTCAAGTAGATCTTTTTGTCTTTGCTTTTCACGTAACAATTCATTAATAGTTATTTGATAAAATAATGGATCTTGTGGTAAAAGTTGTACAGGAGGTATGCATAATTGTTCTGTAGTTGGTTGAAATATTTTTAAATTTTTATCAAGTTGAACTTTTATTGGTTTACTATTCATTAGTGTATCACGTGCTAATTGTAATCGTTCAATAGAATATTCTTGATAAATTATTGATTCATTATCATCCGATGTTATAAATCCACTAGCTTGAAGTAATTCTGTAGCATATTTTAATTGAAAAACTTTCTTAAAGAAGAAGAAGAAGAGGAATTGAAAAAAAAATATCAAAAAAAATCGAATAATTTACCTCGAGATAAATTTTATTTTGTAAACGAATTCGACGATATTTATCCTCATTTGGACTAGAAATAATATTATCAAAATATTTACAAATAATTTCTTTGCCAATATTTAATTTATCTGAATCTTTTTGATTACATGTTAAAAAGAGAAGTATTGTAGTAATTATTGGTTCAGAATCTAATTGAGATTTTAATGTACTTTCAATTCGTTGTTGTAGCTCATCATATGTTAAACAAACGTTATCACCAAATATATCAGGACATTTAAAAAATAGTTTTGAATAGTCAACAACAGGTGCACTTTCAATACTAATCTACATTTTAGAATATATAAGAGAAAAGAAAATATATGAACAAGAGATGCGATGAATTTCTATACTTGTCTATTGCCAAAATAATGATCTTTTAAATCAAGTGCTTTTTGATATTCATCTTTAAGCGCTTTCTCTTGCTCGAGTTCACGTTGAGCTTGATGACGAACACTATCTGCAGTTCGACTATCTAAAAAAAATTATTTTATCCAGACAATTCAATCATATCGAGAACTACTAGAACTTAGCAATGTTTCAGAGATCATCGTTTCACAAATTTTTCTAGTCGATTTCTATGATTACTATCGTATTTTATAGGATCAAAAACATTTAACATAAAATAATAAAAAATAGTAACAATTATTCATTTTTTTTTTATTAAATGTAAAAATCGAGTAGTTTCGACAGGAAACGAAATTATCAAATTTCTTCATTACAATGCCATTGTTATCATTAAAAGCAGGAAATCCGAATTTTTTTCAATAATCAGCAGTATAACTTTTGGAACAATCAACAATTGTTCAAGGCTTGTTTTCTTTTGAGCAAAATATGAATCAGTTGTTTTTTGAAGAATGTCATTTCACTGACAGTTACTGAAGTATTAGGCTTATCAAAAATAGCTAAGAAAATATCTTGTGTATTATCTTCGATATCGATCGAAGGAAAGAAAATCTTTGGTGTAGACTTTTTATTTAAATAGAGTTATGCACAGGCTGTACCTAAGCTAATGAAGGAACTTCTTCAGCTTCCTCCTTCTGATTTCGATGATTTTTTACCTATTGATACGTGACTAAACTATCGAATTTTTTTCTAGAAGTTTCAAGTTTTCGGAACATTCGTATTGTCGCATTCTGATCTAAAACTTTGCGCATGTAGAGAATTCGATTAGACTAGTTTTCATAGAAAAATGCAGAAGCTTTGAACAATGTTTCTTCGAAATATGAAACTTTCAAGATATAGTGACAAGAGATAGAAGAAATCGTGAAATCTTGCAATGTACCGTCATCCCCCTATCTTGCGGCGGGGTGTAGTGGGAACCGTGTGACACTCACTACGACTCGTCTACTTTTTATATCTTCATTTTTCCGACAAAACATTATTGATTAGTATCATTCTCAGCGTTGACTTTCTAAGATCTTTAAATTTCTATGCATTTTATAACTTGAGAACTAGGTTTTTTCTAACATAGTAATATTTTAGAATAATTTGAATACAAACGAGAATACGACAAAAGACAAAGTCGATCTTGACACTTTCAGAACTATTGAATATGATAAATAATATCATAAAACGAATTAATGCTGGTTGGTACGAATGAAAAATTAGTCATACAAAGTAGATGTCTTTTAATTGTTGTCAAACATTGATTAGCAATCATTTTAATGCTTTCGATACAACTAATGCATTCTACCATACAACAGTCTATTGTTTTACTTTTGATTGTAAATTATATAATTTTACTTTCTTGGCAATGGTTTTGAACTTACTGCTCACAATGTAGTTATCAAAATTTGTTCTTATTTCTACTTTTTTATCAGCATATTATAGTATTGTCTTATTGATTAATTCTATAAAAGAACACAATTCATTGTATTCTCACTTGAAATTCCTGATTTTTGCCTAGATAATTGTTGTTGTAGTCGTTGTTGTGCTGCTTCAGCAGCAGCTCGTGTTGCCGTTCCGCTATTAGAATTTTGTTTTTCAGATGAATGAGAACATGTTTGTGACAGTACAGTTTGAGGAACACTTGTTGATGACGCTTCATTCAACTGTTGTCCTTCATCGGCTTTAGCAGATTTTACATTATCCTTTACTTTTGAAAACAATTCCTTTAACTCTGCCATATCTAGAAGGTTAAATCATATATTTAATACTCATTTCATCAGTTTGATCTTAATCATCACTTTTGGTTTTTTTTTATTGAGAAGAATGAATGCAATTTCTAAAACAAACAAACCAAGAAAGAGAAAAAAGGATACGACAGAGGGGGAAAATCTAGTAGAGAAAATGACGATGCAGACCATTCTAGACGACAGAAAATAGCAAATAATAATAAACTAGAAGAAAATAATATATCGTCATCGATTTAGTTGACTGACTTGGTTGACCATATAACATTTATATACAAAACAACATGCATACACACACATTCACATACATAGACAAGCAAAAAAGACACAGGATTAATATAGTTCATATACAAAAAAAGAAAAGAAAAAGAATATGCGTTCTATTGAATATATATATATATATGTATATTTAATACTGAGGTTGAATTTCTGTAATAGTAACAGCAACAGCTGGAATAGCAAATGGTTGATGTGAACGAATTTTTGCATGTGTAAGAAGATGTTGTTTGAGATTAGTTGATTGGGCAAAACGTCGACTACAACCATCAAATGGGCAAACATAAGGTTTATCACCTGTATGTATTCGAACATGTGTACGTAAATTAAAATCAAGTGAAAAACGTTTTCCACATCCTTCAAATGGACATTGAAATGCTTTTTCACCAGTGTGTACAAGTTGATGACGACGTAATTTAGAACTTTCAACAAAGGATTTTTGACATTCATGACAAACATGTACACCTTAAAAGAAATATAAAAAATTAACAAAAACACTTTTTTTTTTAATGAAAATCTTACGTGGTCCATGTGTATGTAAATGTTTATTCATTGAAGCTGTATCACGAAACATTTTTGTACAACCTGATTGTGGACAACGTATTGTTTTAGGTTGATCATCTATAGGTAAATGTGTACGTCGTTTACGATGTGGTTTAACAAGATTTTGAACATAATCAGGATTAGAAAAATCAGCTGGAACTAATAATGATGGATCATTATCAAGTGGATTAACAATATTACTTAAATTATTATTTGTATCATTACCAACACCTAAATCATCAAGATCTTCATCACCTGATGATTCATCATCATCTGTATCACTTTTATCTTGTTTGATTTTATTCTGAGAATTTGTTGAGGATGTTGTTGTTGTTGTCGAACGACGTGTTGAAGAAGTTTTTTTATGATTTGAATTTTTATTTGTTTGTCGACGTGGTCGCCCTCGAGAACTTTTATTTATTAAATGTGAAACATCATCATCATCGTCATCATCTATATCCGATAATTGATTATTTTCATCATCACTATCAAGTGATTCATCATCTGAACCACTTTCATCATCAGAATCTGTATCTGAATCATCTCCTGTTGGATCATGATGTAATGGATTAACACCTGCTTGACAAAGTGCTTGTAATATAGCTGCTTGATCATATGATGTTGTTGGATTATTATTTGTGGATGAATTGTCGCCATTTTTACTACCCATTATAACAATATTACCCGTTGTACCAAGGTTCATCTTTGTTGATATATTTGAAGCAATTTGTGGAGTATCTTGTTGAGATGAGACTTTACCAGTACGTTTTGCACGTAAAATAGTATTAGTTTCACCTAGTAAAAAGAAATATATATATATATTATGTTAAATTTCTAAATCGTCTATGGAAGACTATTGCTGGTAAGCACAGGGAGCTTGTTTTATTTGATCTATTTCTTTATCATTGTTTTACTTACTTGTTCAGAAATTTAATTAGTAGGTTATATATTAAAATAAGAAATTATATATATAGGGTCCTTGATCATATATTAACTACGTCAGTCACGGTCTGTGACGTGGAAGTAGAATTGACGATTAGAAAAGGAGTGGCGAAAGCTTCCTTTTCTTAAAAAAGAATCGAACTACCTGCAAAATCTCTGACAGTTTTGTAGGAAATCGTGACAGAAGTGAAATTTTAGTAGTTTCAGCTCTGCCTCTGCTGAATATTGATAGAAAGATGCTTTCAGTCAGACACAATATCACAGAAAGGTGATAATTTCAGTATCTTCTATTCGATTTCTACGAGAAGACAATTGCTGCCAACTTTTCAGTTTCTCCTATCTTTAAAAACAATGGGAAATACTATCTGATAGGAAGATATGAAGATCTAAATTTTTATTTCTATACTTCAATACTCCTTCTAGATCATATTTCACAAATAGTATATACATAGGCCTGTCTATACTTGTATTTTAATAATATATAATACGATATTGGTCTCTTGAATGATACTGAATGTTGTTCAATATTATGAAGTTGTCGATTTTCATTATCAGACAATCATATTTAAATTAAAATCTGATATTGATATTAACTGACGAATAAAAGTTCAACCATCAAGCATATTAAGCTAAGAAATATGCCATCATAGCCAAATCTATTTAACGAATAATATCTCCAATGTTTTTAGAATACAACTATATGGAATCATGATAGGATATAACTTTGTCTGGAGAATGACTGATCTCATCAGAAGTGTGTAATACTAAAAATAGGGAAAAGAGAATAATTTATACAAAGATTTCGATGTATTGATAATAGATTTAGAACATGTATAAAATTTTAGTTCTAAACAAAAGGTCGATCAAATTCAAAGTTCTTGAACTCTCTGTATATACAGACTAACCACATACTAGCCATGAGGGCATGTGTTTGTCATAATTTAGTCAGCATGATATCAGACGCATGATCCAAGGCAAACAGCTGTTACTGACTTGTCCAAGCTTTGAACAATATAGCAACTCAGTCATGATAGTCTTAATTTTCTAGACATTAGTTAATTAAACATAATTTTTATTTATTTACCTGTCATTTGTTGCTGTTCTTCCATTTTAATTCTTTTATTTGATTTTATTCCTATTGTTGAACGTCGTAGTTGATTTTGATTAATATCATCTGTAGATTCTGATAGAATATCATTTGATTTATTATTATTATCTATTGATGATAAAGATTTATTCGTTAATGATAGTTGTTGTTTTGGTTTTCTACCACGTCGTTTAGGTTCCATTGTTTGTCCTGTAGTTGTTATAACAACAGCAGTTGATTTAGGACGTCGACCACGTTTAGCAGGTACATTTGTTGTCCACATTGAATCATCATGAAATTGATGTGTTTGATGATTTAATGATATTATATTACCATGTGCAAGTGTAGTTGTTGTACCATGACCAGTGCCACTAGTACCAGCAGCACCACCAGTTCCATCATCGATTTCATAATCACCTGATTCAACAAATGGAATATCTTCATCCAAATAAACAGAATTATCCATTAGTACATTATTAATCAAGTTTTTTTGAAGAAACTACAATATTTGTATTGTTTGATGGATTTGGTATTAATCTATCTAATGAATTATATGAACGAGATCGACCATGTGTTTCAAGATTTGAAGCTAAAAGAAACAAAATATGAAAATTATTACGAAACCTTTTGTTTTGTTTCAAATCAAACTTTTGAAATAATCATAAATGATTAATTCAAAATGGAATTTGATTTAGTTTTTCGAGATTTTAGACTCTACACAATTAAAATATCAAATTGTGCAGAAACACGATCTCGAACCTAAGATTTTTATGAATTAATCAAATCGATTAAAATAACTTACGTGTTTTAGATAGTTGTTGAATGACACTATAACCGTAACGATACCAAGCAAGAAAAATAGTAAGAAGAGCAATTGATAACCAAATAAATAAATAACAAGTAAGACGAAATTCGAAATCGAACTCTATTTTTGAAATTATTATTAATTTTTTTATTCTCTAAAATAAATAACAGAATAATATTTTTCAAAAAAAAACCGAAGAAACAATTAAGGTTGGTTTATTTTTTTGTATTATATATGTTTTGACCAGTTTCTATTTCGAATCGAGCGAAAAAAAAAAGAACAGTAGACGAACATAATTACCACACGCACAAGAAATAAACATATACAGAAAATAATATTTAGGTTTTTCTCCTTCTTTTTTTTATTCCATTGATATATTTGCTTCTTCTTTATTATTATCTTCCTTCATACTTCGTTGAATATTTTCAAGAATACGTGTTGTTTCTTCATCATCATCAACATGTGTTGTTGTAGTAGTAGTCGTCGTCGAATCTGTACGACGATTATTATCACTACTACCATTTTGTTTGGAATTTGATGATGAATGTACAGGTGATCGGGAATCATGTCGATGACGATGATGTCGTCGCGATGATGGTGTTCGAGATCGAGAACGACGATGACGACGTGATGAACCAGAACTAAATTGAAAAAAAAACAACAGTAATATTAAGTGAACAAATCTTTCAATGAAAGTCAAGTGAATTAGTTTAATATTCAAAAATATTAGCCCAATCCTTAGACTATTTGAAAAAAATTAATAGAAATTTTATGTTTATCATGGCTACCTATATTGAACATTGATTCACATTACTAGTGATTTTTTCCTTCGATTTGAATCATTTGGATATGTCTAATTAGTAAACAAAACTTAAGTCGATTATTAGAAAATCATAATGTATTCTAAACTATGCACATAAACTTGATCAGCAGTTGAAAGGACTGAAAACGTCATTCTATGAAATGATTAGTTATCTGGATTAAGATCTGAAAATCAGAATGGTTGATTCGTTTAGATTTGTACTTACAAATCCAGTACTGCAAATCATTTTAAAAAAAACGAGATTACAATATGTGTCAGTGCATGACGATGACTCATATCCTCGAGATTTTAATAAATATTTTATTCTAATTAAATGTGTTGTTTATTTCATAATTGAAAAGTGTTTGCATTTTACGAGTTACGATTCATCTGATAAACTAATTACTTGTACAAGTCATGAAATTCATGAATGATGTCTAGCTAAAAAACTGCATCTTTTACTTTCTCTCTTTGTTTAGAAATTTCTGATTTTGACTGATTCATCTCTCCTTAGATATTGATTTGTTTTTGTACTCAAC